GTGCACTAGCTGGTCAACGGGGGGGCGATTGCTTGCCTTTTGACCTGCCAGCACGCTCCTTATATACTCCAGGAACCCCTATCTACGTTTTACATGTGTTTTAATGCGGGATACTTCGGTCCGAATTACAAATATGAAATTTAATGAACGTGTGGTATATTTTGTAGTCTATCTCTGTGAACACTACAGATTTTGTAGTGTCGCGTCTTTCATCTTCAAACGCATCAGTGTTTGATGCGTACGTGGAGTTAGCCGACGTAGCTATTCTTAGCTTGGCATGATCTCGCGTGTTTCTTTCTATGGCCCGGTTTACCGGTTTGACAGATGACATCACAAAATGATTAACGTTTCCTGATGTGTTGATGCGCATGCGTACATGTTTACCAATAGTCTTCGGCCTTCCGTCGCTTCCGAGTTTTTTAATTAAAATGCCTTGTCTTGGCTCGTCTTTTCATTACGGAGGTCGGGAGACACTCCGAAGGTGTTTTCAAATGTCTTTCTTAATTGTCAGGGGGTTCTTATTATATTTCATATAATAGAATGTGTCTTTTTCTTATGTTTGTACTTGTGACGTTCAGATGCATCAGTCTTTGATGCATACGCGGGAATCGCCGTACATGACTTTCTGAATGGCCGTGAGCCACACTAAGTCTTCGTACGTTTACTACCTAGGTGTAGTTTAGTCTTTCAATGTTTCAGACATGCCGTTTAAGCGTCTATGTCATCTTTTCTGTATTTCTTGTATAAGCACGAGTTTTCACAATAAATCCATTATGTGTTTCTAAACCCTTTAGTAGTAATGCAATTCTTCTCCCTGCGTTGGGTGTTTACTCTAGAACCTCTTCGTGCTCTATTTCATGGTAGGTGAATCTTAGATAGGATCCAAGTATAATGTCACGATGCGTACTGCTGCCAGTTCCAAAGCCTTTGTCCTATTTTCAGATTCCACGCATTTGCATTTTTAGTCAACTGCGCCGGGTATGCGCATTGACTCTTTGTATCATTGCAATTGTATGTAGTGTATTTATTAGAGATGACCTTTATTGGTAAAATCGTTAAAATTGAATTTTATATGGGTGAAATGGTTTCATCCGTATCAACGGGGACTTGATGTAAGACAGGGATGACAGTTCCGCTGAATCTGATACCAAAACTGAGGTTAGTCCTTCAAACATTGGCGAGGCTACTGCTATTGTGACACTGCTTGATATGTGGCACTCTGTATGGACATCGAGGCAGGGATTGAGGCCAGCTCCTTTGGCAAATCAGACATCAGTTTACCATCAGCACACCCACTACCACCTGCCGCCATCATTTCACAAACAGGATCACCAGTAAATGATTAAAAATTGAGCCAGCTTCTTCATCACTCATCCAGGAAGGCATCTGTAAAAGACATTCTGAATTCACGTCACGCTTGGCAATCTGGAACCACAACAAAATCTGAACATGTCATTATCATCACTCCAAAATTTTCAACATTGGAGAAGGTGCTGGATGTGGAGAAGGAACCTGCAGAAGAGGACATGAAGAAAATCTTAATCAAAGAAGCTGCCCATCATTTGCATATTGCGCAAGAGCTCAATGGTGAGCTGAAGCGGCAAGAACAGAAGAAGGTTCGGCAAATTCGGTGGCAGCAAGTCGTGACGCAAATTCAAAAAGAGCTAAAACTTGGTGAAAAAGGTCTGAATGTTCTATTTGACAAATGCTTTCCATTA